AACTGTCGAAAGCCATTGAGCATTGCAATGCTCAACGGCGTTGCTCATGAGCAACGCCGTCATCGACACGGAAAGACGAGCCAGGGGCATCGTTGTGAAAAAGCGTGCGGCAGCTGAAGAGGGGATGCCGGGGTCGGGGATGTTTCCCAAAACGAAGAAGTCGCAGCTAGACATCTGCACCGAAACCGCCAAGTTCAGTGCCAAGCTAAAGCACGCCGATGTCACTCACAAGACATCTGTTCTCAAAGATTCCTTCGAGGTTCGGCGGATATGCCTCACGAGCAACCGAAACCGGAAGACTGGCGAGGAGATGAAGGAGATATTCCCGGATATGTACAGCGAAGCTGCCGTAAGTGTTGCTTTATTCGGTATTTAAAAGTCTTGTCTAATGTTATGTGCGATTGAACTCGAGATTCCTTTACTAACAGGGTAGTTCAGTAGGAAAATTTGACCGCCACGGTGACGTCACAGTGGCTATGCGTAAGCGTGGTGTAGTTAAAGGAAAAGGGCCACCTTTAACATGGGGATTGAAACTGAGATAGCCATCTTGTAGCCCGTGTCCGAAAACCTACTTGTCTACCCCCTTACGGCCGATTTCGGCCTCCATTCGTAGTTATCGGCAATTTTAAAAGAAAATATGCCAGGAATGCGTTCTTATCCCAGGAATGCGTTCTTATCCGACAATACAGCCACCCGCGGCGAGGCTTTGGTTTTTAACCAATCAGCTTGCAGCAGTACTGATCAGGCACGGATCCCTGTACTAGCGAGCAGACCACGAGCAGTTGCGTTATTTTTCGTTGTCTGTTCTGGCAATCGGCCGGCGGATGAACATCCGCAATCGAATCTTGAAATCCGTCGCGCTGATTGGTGATGAGTTTCATGAGCTACTTTCATGAGGTCTATGAAAGTAAACCTATGCTATGCCCTGAACAGATGACATCTCGTTTGGTAGCCAATTGCTAAAATGTATTTTTATCTTACGCAAGGCAGTATACCATATTTTATACCGTGGCTCTGATCCGAAATCAGGGCATTTTTGTTCGAACAAATACCTATAATAACGATGAAGAAGTGCGTGATCCGCGGAGCAAACGACCTACGTCGGGTCGGGACTGATATGCGTGTGACTGTGCACAAGTAAGTAGGTTAAGGTACCTAGGTAGGTACCTAAATTCTTATTTATTGCAATGGCTCTTCTATTACTTTTGTTTTCACAGAACTCTCCCCTGGATTAGCAAACCCTTTTGAACTGTTCAGGCTTTCACAACTGAAATATGCCAGACTGGATAAAAAAACACAAGTTATGCCAAATATGTCATGTGAAGTGGCGTGATTGCGGTGTTGCCCCAAAAATTTCATCGCACATCCGGCATAATTTTGCATGCGTCAAATTCAGCGCATGGTGGCAGCTGAATTTTTAGGCGCAGGGTGACCGCATGGCGCATAATGTTTATGCAAATGGCTGTCACTGAATTTTTTGACACGCTGTGGTCAATCTAGCAGCAAACTTGCCCTGCGGGCGCTGGCAGGTCTGAAGAGAGTCGGAACTTCCGGCCTGGGCCTTGTTTCACCTTAAGATTCTACAGTGTGCCACACAAATTGTGGTATTGGGTTTTCATGGGAACATTAACTAATTCAGACGCTCAGAAAGGGAAGAGCGTCTGACTCCGAGGCCCCGGAACGATCTGTCTGGTTGATATAGCCTTGGTCGGTAGATATGCACATGTGCTTTATGTAAAAGTGGCTTAATTTTGGTGCAAACAGGCACCCAACTTTCAGTGGAAATCATGCACTGGAATTTCAGCTCAAAATTGCTTGCTTCAAATTTTGGCGCATGAGGGGCTCACGGGCATCCGGCGTAGTGTATGGATGTTTTCCAGTCTGGCTGAAAGGCAGAACTCAGACACATTTATCCAGCCCTTCAAATCCCATTTCCTGGTTGTGGTAACACCTACCTTTCCATGGGGGTTTGGTTCATCTCTTGTCTACACAGTTTTCTTTCACTTATGTGCTGACAAGAAAAGGAAACTCACCAGAGCCCAGTTTCACCAAGTGCGGTAAACTCAATTTGGGGTAAACTACCAAACTACCCCACTACTTAACTACAAAAACTACCCCAAAATTAAGTTTACCGCACTTGGTGAAACTGGGCTCAGTGGAGCTATTCAGCTTAATACACAGAGTATGTGTTGCATGGACTAAGCATGTGTTGACCCTTTTTTACTTTTAGGTTCCCGCTAAACAAAGAAGTACAGAGAAAAGTGGATGAGGGTGTGTGGCATGACCAATGAGCCAAGACCACATGACCACTTAAACTTAACAAGAAGTGCGCACCATGATAAGCACAGTCAAAAACCTTTGCGTCTAAAGAACAGTGCTGTGCCGGATCAGAATGTAAGTTATTTTTTAAAAGTGATGAAAATGCCTGCTATATTGTTTTAAAAAAAGTTTCAAAAGACTTTGAATATTGTTTTTGTAACACTTCACTCTAAAGTTATTCCTAGTACCAGACATTACAGCTTTAGTGCAGAGTCTTTATTTGTGATATTTTTAGCCAAAAATTATTACTAGTACCGAGCCCTTACAGCTTTACAGCCCTAGTACCTTGCCCTTATTTTTTTATATTTTTTAGCCATTTCAACCTAACCGAATATCTGTATGTTTGTATGTTATTGTTTTGATCTGTATTTTATGCTACCTCCCTATAGGTAAGTTTTATTAAAACATGTGGTAACGGTGTGCTGATTTTTTACAGATTCCGTATACGCCTTGGGTTGCTGTCGCTGCTCGGTCACCCACAGATGAAAGTGATCAAGAAATGGACATCACTTAGGTAAGATTCAAGCGTCCTTTATTTTACACATAATACACTAAGCAGTTATAGCACCCTAACCGCAACATATGGGAATGCATTGCCTGGTGGGTGCCTACTGCCTACCTATATGCCAAGTTTCAGCTAAATCGCCCCAGTATTTACAGAGTTATTGAAATGGGAACAAATTCGGCACCTCTTCTTTTTGCATTTTGCACGTGCAGTGGGGGTCACTCACATAGATCAGGAGCATCCGACCTTTGGTTGAAGGGGTGCAGCTACCCTACAAAATTTACCGCAAGACCGCCCAAGCGGCTGCTGAGATGAGCCTCTCAACATCACTTCTTTTGCAACTTTTGACAAATAACACCCTTGACTTTTCACGTGGCACGTGCCACGACGGTCCCTGTAATGTATCAAGAGTAGTCAATTACGGGGTAGAGGGAATAGGGCTAGCCAACAAAAAAAGACCGCAGGCCAATCGGTCCAGCGGTTGCTGAGATATAAGCCTCTCAAAAGCGTTACAGGCCGGGCCGGGTCGGGCCGCTCATACTGAACTTTTTCCGTGATATTGAAAAGACTTCGCTTCGCTCGCTCGCTCGTAATTAACAATTCATGGTTGACTATATGGATTAAGCTAAGTGATTGCGCTCTATTAGCACACTATCTAAGTAGCCCTTAATTGCTGCCGGTGCGTGGACTGTGAAAGTGAGCCGAGCTGTGACGCAAACCGTGCGCCTTTTTCAGGTGTGGGATCACTCGTGGAAGTTCACGGCGGATACGGAGCCGTGCATGCAGCTCTGGTTCGATCCTGCTCAGGGAAGCCCCAATGACGCCGTGGCGCGCATCTGGGCTGAGCGGGTGGTGGCGGCCGGTGCGCGGGCGCTGCCGCGTGGCTGGTGGCCGCGGCCCTGGCGGCAGCGGCCCGCTCCTGACCCGGTCGCCCTGTGCCGAGCACAGAGCGCCGACTGAGGTCAGTCTTGTGATCGAGCTTCCGCGCCGGAGGTGGAACAGGTGGAGCTGGCGGTCACCTGCGCGGGCTCGGCGGCCTGTAAGCCGTGCCGAGACGAACCGCGACACTCTTGCTAGATCTGCACCCCATTGTAATCTTCTGTAGTCGATATTCGGTAGGTACTCAATGCTCATTTTTCTGATATTAGACGAGTGGCGTGTTTTGATGTTACATTGGAGACTGCTGTCTCGGGTGGCCCGACAGTGTTCGATTGTGGTGTAATGTAGATACATAGACGGGATGCCGCGGCTCGGATTCGTAGCTGGACTACCATGTGCCTGTCGATTGAGATGCTTTGCCTGGCGATTGAGATGATTCGGGGCGCGGCCCCACACTGACGCCATGGTGCAATGAGTGACTGGCGACAACTAAGCAATTATGTACTTTTGTAGAACACATGTTTTCATGGATACGAGAGGCAGTCCTTTTTTCGCTAGCAGTCATTTGGTTCACGATACTTTCGATACCGACAAATATGTTCGGGCGGCCGGTCCGTCTACAGCTAATGCGTGCTTGCCCGCCGATGCCTAACGGAGCGCTGTGCTGTCTACGCTCACTGGTCGCTGGCCCGAGAGCCGTTCGGTTGCTGCTGTTAAAACAGTTCTCACAAAAACACGCTGGCTGGCTGCCAGTTCTTCACCAATGAGAGACCCAGTAGCATCAGCAGGTAGCATTGTTTAATATTACTATTCCATTTTGTTTACCCATATGTCCGACCTAGAGCCGACTGGTAAAAAGCGGCAACCGAGCAGCCCTCCGCAGCGCTGCAGATCATGTACGCTCGATTATACACAATATATGTGTCTTTCTTGCACACAGAGACATGACGTTTTATAGAGCTTTTATATCGCTTGCGGCTGAAAGGAATATTGTACATTTTAGAGCTTTCATATATGCGAGAAAATATGGTGCAAAAAAACATTTATGAAGCCTGTTGAATTTTAAAGGTTGTTGGGGCATTTCACAGACTGTGTCGGTGGGCAGGGCAGCCCGGCCCCCGCCGCCGCCGCCTCCTTCACTGGTATGTGGCAGGGACGGAAGCTTCGTATTGATATACCGGGGTGCAACTCAAGCAGCATATCACCTATCAAACAACCTTCGGTTATGAAGTGAATGAAAACTAAATATTATGTATAACTGTGGTCTGCGCTGCGGTGTTTCCACTTTCCAAAGTGGAGGAAGTACGGGGAGCTGGACCCAGACTCGATGAGCCCTCTACTACGGATCTGGGTCTTCGCAGCTGATCGTCTGTGAATGAGAGATCATATGATACCAATGCATACCGAACGGATCAAAAACAGTGCCATTATATATTTGCAATTCTACAGCTTTACGTAAGCCCATCCTAGTGAATGCATTAATACGCGTTGATTTGACAACTGACATCCGGTTGAAGGCGTTTTTTTCGGCCAACAGCCGGCCAGCAGTTGTTGCAGGCCGGCCTCGTTGGGAAGCAGGTTCATTTTCCGACAGCCACTGCGTGCGGAAGCACTCTCTGATGGCGCGGACGGCGCGCGCCGGCTCCTGTTTCTGTAACGTGTAGAGGCGGGTGTCGAGCAGCTGGGCGCGTAGCGGGCGGTCCTCGAGCACGCGGAACGCGGCCGGCTGGCGCGGGTACAGGCGCTCCCTAAACAGCAGGCCCGCCGTCTGTTCCAGCTCGGCGTCGGCGCGCCCCTCGGCGAACAGCAGGTGCAGCTGACGGTCGGCCAGGCAGAAGCCGCTGATGCCAGGTGTGCTGACGTCGCCGGGCCGGCGCGGCGCGGCGCCCTCGGCCGCCGCCGGGCTGGGCGGCTCGTTGAGCTGCTGGATGAGCTGCATCACGCCGCTGCGCTGCAGGCCGCGCTGCGAGACGACGGCCAGCAGGCGGCCGTAGGCGCAGCGCGCCGGCGCCGGCCGCGGCAGCAGGTCCAGCGGCACGGCCAGCGACACGGAGACGGACAGCTGCGCCGCCGACTGCAGCAGCTGCAGCGGCCCGAACGGCGGCGGACACGTGCCGCGCTCAATGTCGGCCGCCGGAGAGGCAGCCGGTCCGGCCGGCACCGCTGTCAGCGGCACCTCCACACTGAGCAGACGCACGCCGCGCGTCAGGGCAGAGACGTCCACCACCACCAGCTGCCGCGCACACAGAGGGCCGACAGTGGTGACAGCGCGCGGCGGGTCAGACCTCACAGTGGGGATAGCGGCAGCGGGTCAGACACCCTTATAGAACAGCACGGGGCGGAGCCGACAAAAGAGGACGAGGAGACGGTCATACAGCCGACTGAGGTCCGGGCACCGACTGACTCAAAGTTCTGAACATGTCACACATTTCTAAATGGCTTCTGTAGGACGGAATAGTGTCTCTTCCTTCCAAGGCTTACTTGCAGAATAATATGGAAAGACACAATTTTACAAGTTGTGTTTTTATGACATAAGTTCTTTATAACATTTCAACACGCAAACATCATACCTTGACAATTGTTCACGATGAAGATCATGGAGGAACATTTCATATTTAGTCACCCTTGATTATTTTGTTGATAGTGATGCGAAAGGCAAATTACCAAAGTATATATTTGCAATTATTTGAGTTAATAATTTCAACTTTTTTGTGTTGAAAATTGACTTTTGAAACAATAAAGGCAAATGAATTATCAGTGTCTGGAAAGGTGCAATGCTGAAGGCTTCTTATTACATTCTAATTTATATCTAAAGCTTTGTGATATCCAAACTCTCAGAAATAACCAAGGACGTAACCAAGGAGAGGGGAGGGGCACGGGAGCCATGCCCTCGTGCCCCTTCCCCCCTCGGTGATGGCGATTTTTTTAAAATAAAAACAGCTGTGACACACCCCCAAAATAGTGGGCCTAATCCGAGAAATTTTCCTTTTTTGGAGGGGGTACAACACTAGGCCACAACCTGTGACCCCCCCCCCCCCTGAGCAAAATCCTGGCTACGTGCCTGGAAATAACAAAGCACATCCTATCCTTTGATGCCACTTACCAGCAGCTTTGCGCACTACCAAACAGACACCTTTGGGCCTTTGTTGTTCTTGTTTTGGGCATTGTCAGTGGTAACTGGAAATAATCAGACATGATGGTCAGAGTAGGGAATGTGACTACAACAAAAATCATTTGATTCCTATAATATAGACATGATTTAATAGAAGACCTTCTTCTTAAGAAAGTGTGTCATGGATACCAGCTAATCTGTATGGTATTTATCTCCAGTATTATCATATAGGTATAACAATTATCACCACCCGCCACCATTGAATGTAGGTTTTATGTTGTAGGTTGTAGGTGGTAGGTTGGGTATCGGTAAAGCTGGTGTCACCGTCAGCGCTAATCGGTAAATGTGTAGATAAAAGGAATCTTAAAAACAATCTAACCTAACCTAACCTTACCTACTGACCTACAACCTACCTACCCACAACCTACCAAACTAATATACGCTGACAGTGATGCCAGCTTTACCAATGCCGTACGTTGTAGGTTGTAGGTAAGGCTAGGTCAGGTAAGATTATGTTTCATTATATATTTACTGAGAAGACGGCTGAATGCTCTTGAGACGTGGCTATACATTTACATTTTGTAAGTAATTTTTAGGTTTCAATGAATATTTCCTAGTGGAATGTTTTGAAAACCATTCTAAATGATGACCTTTAGCATTCCATAGTACTTTAAAGCTAATTAACCACATCGCCAATGCTAGGTCACATTGCGTGCCTACTTCCACCGGCAGCTCCATGGGATATATGATAGGCAGGGGTAAATGGAATATTTTTTATTAATATTCTTGAAGAAAATTATAGGCATGAAAAGAAGATGATCTGCCTTTGAGATTGATATGTGATGCCTACTTTGGAGGAACATAATCATAATAATTACACAATCATAAACAATGCAATGTAACCAAACAGCCGCTTATGCCGCAAAATGAGAATCAAGCCAATCACTGAGGACAAACAATTTCAAACCACCAAAACTATATTCTTGCTATTCACCAATAATCCTAAAATAGCGTTCCATGGCCATTATATGCATCTTTCACCCTTACCTCCGACAGATAACTAGCGCCACGGGCAGACACACGGGGCGACAAGTTGTTTACAACCGCTACAGTCCGACGAGTCTATCCTCCTCAAGGCTGATTGGCTTGAGTGTGACGTCATTACTATGACATCATACAGTAGCTGCGGTAGAGAGTATAAACATAGTACCAATATGTTAAATAGTTTGAAATACTTTTTAGCGAATTATGCACTTCTGGCACCGGTTTTGAAAAGAAAATGGAAAATAATAATGTCAAAATAAAAACCAACGATATCTTCATATTTCAAGAAGGTGGCACTTTTCCTTTAACCCGCGCCGTGCTGGGGGGGGGGGGGGCGTTTTTACGCCCCCCCCCCTCAGGTTTTTCGCGAATATCTCAAAAACGGCGGCGCGCAGCGCCGCCGTTTTTGGTACACGTGTTCCTACATCATTTCCGCACATGTTGTGAAAATTTCAGACCTAGGCCGTTCAAGGTCAGGTCACCAGGTCACGTCAAGTGACCTTACCTCAGAAAAAGTTCAAAGGCTCGCTATAGCTACACCGACTGAACGATCACTTTGAAACTTTCAGCGATTGATATGAGTAACAGTATGTATAAAATGTATATCTCGGATTTTTGATATCTGTGACCTAAGGTCAGGTCAATTTTGCGACCTCTCCATTATAAGTCAATGGGAGAAAATTGAAATGCGCCTCTTTTGGACGAATATCGTTCAAAACGCTCTCAAACATCGGTTCATAGGTAAACATGACACACTGAATAGGAAAAATGCACCTGTGACCCCTCTGTGTGCCCCTGAGGTCATCTCAGGTCATGAACGGTCGCCAGCAGTTTTTTGGCTATAACTTTTGATAGAGACGTGCTAGAGCGGTGAAAACACGTCAGATGTGTTCAGCTCGACGATACGGATCGACTGATATGCAACATGACCCTTTTCGGTCAGGTCATGACCTTGACCTGAGGTCAAATTTTCAAAATGACCTTTCAAGGTCAACAAATAGTTCATTCGACGCGTCTCGACGAGAGGAACACGATGCTGGCAAAAGTAATGTCATGGCGCTTATGAGTCAAAAGTTATTGACGAAAAAACGTTTTTCGTAAAAACGGCTATTTTTGGAGTTTTTGCCCTCTGGAGGCTAAACCGTTGACCTGAGGTCAAATCTGAGAACATTACTCAGAAAGGTCTGTAAAAGGGCTATCGAATGCGCTTTTCCGCGGCGCTGTAGCTCTATCGGTTCCCGAGATAGCCGTTGGCAGTTTCCAAAATGTTGAAATAGTCAACATTTTACCTTTGGTGACCTCTGGTGACCTGACCTTTGACCTGACCCAAAAAATGACCGAAGTGTTTTCGTCCTTATTTTTGACGCTCTTTCGATTGCCGCTTACCGCGTGTCGCTACGTGGCCCAGGAGCCGAGTTAGACGGGGGGGCGTGAAAACGCCCCCCCCCCCCCCCCCCAGCACTCGGCGGAAAGTTCAGGCCACCAGCACGGCGCGGGTTAAAATGTCACATTTGACTCTGTGCCTTTTAAGGGTGGATTATCGAGAAACGGGGCTTCAAACATTCATGAAAACGTGTTTTTTTATAAACTTCCCAATTATAAGCTCGCCCGTTGACCCAGATGATCACCATCTTCCTATGTATTATGAATGCGTGGGAACTTTTTTCCCGCCAGCGCGGCAGCGTGATGTAACGGTAAAGGAATTTTGAAACTCTTTAACGGGGTATGGTTGAACTGAACTTACTATATAATTAGTGGCACCATTTCATATCCGCGCTATCAGGGAACAACATTGGATAGGAAAACATCTGGAAAATTTGTATAATTTTTAACCCACTCCCTCTGGTTTTTCTACCGCCTGCTGGGAAGTCACCCCCCCCCCTCCCATCTAACTTGGCGGGTCCTAAGCAACGTAACCGTAACGAAACGCTCAAGGCGGAGTTGGGAATCTTGTCACAAACCATGACGAAAGCATTCCAGTCATTTTTATCAGGTAAAAGATCACCAGAAGTTGACACTTGACGTGGCGCGCTTTCAAACTTTTTGTGAGCTGGAGTAACTTACCTGACCTGACCTTCCACAATGATATAATGTTCACTTGATGTTGCTTGATGTTAATTCCATTCATTAATGTGATTTTGCGATGTTTCCAGGTGTGGACTGACTTGGGAATGATCATGGGGCTCGAGGAGGACGTGAAGGAGCATGTCCTGCACAAAATCAGACATACCGCGAAGAAGTGTGCCCAGACGATGATAAACGTGGAGCCGGCCGACAAAGACGGTGAGTTTTGAACGGGCACAAGCACACCTTTTCGGATGAGGTGTTCCGCTAGCAACAATCGTGCCGGGGGGGGGGATACTCTTCTTCTATATAACTGGGCTCGAGCCGATCATCGTAGACAATATATTCCTGGCCAGGGCTGGAATAATGTTTAGATCTGACTGATTTTTTTTTAGCGAATGCAAAGTTAGGCCCGAGGTATTTTCGATAAATACGAGGTCAGGCCAAAACATTAGCCAAGACCAAGTGTAGGAAGGTATTTCCCACGCATGCTTCTTCCTGCACGATGGAGAAATGACGTTTCACATACCCCAATGGCGTAATACATTAATAGTAGAGGGCAGGACAACTGTTTATTTTCTTGATGATTTTTTTTTTTGGCTTAAAGGAAGACTGCCACCTTTTTTACACAAAACGGTTTTCACTAGACCTAACCCACCTATGACCATACCCTGAAGTCTGTTTCCCGAAATTCGGCCTAGTTTTCAAGATATCCGCAATTGGACTTCAGATTATAAAGCCATCACAAATGTGTGGAATATGGGAATGTAACATTACTATGTTAAAATCCCATCTCCCACACTTTTTGTGATGGCATCAATGTGAAGTTCGAATGCGGATATCTCGAAAACTAGGACGAATTTCGGGAAACGGACTTCAGGGTAGGTCATAGGTGGGTCAGGTCTACTGAAAATCGTTTTGAACCGAAAACCGTAAAAAGGTGGCACTTTAATTAACGACGGGCGGGACAACATGTTGTACCTCACCTTTGGACAGCCAATCGTCGTTGGTTTTGCTATTAGTCAAAAAGTGTTGTTTAACTCTAGTGATATTGAAAAGTCATGGTTGTCTCCATTCAGGTTGTCTCCATTCATGGTTGTCTTCATTGTCTCCAAATATACCACAGTTACATGCAGTTTGATACCTACTTGCACTCCATACTTAACCATGACAGCGGAACATCGGGTACTAATTTCTTATTTCACTGAAATATTTTAACGACGTATAATTATTTTGTAATTATGCACCACGTTTAGTTGTAAGAGTGTATCGTACTACGCAAACGTACTACGCATCGTACTACGATTTTGAGAGTGAAAAGAAATCAGGAAGAAGCGAAGAATCGTCTCCAGATACTGTAGATGGCATAGCCAGCTACTGTACGAACGCGGTTCCTTGTTTCTCTCCTAGGTTTCCTTTACGTTTATTTGTACGATATGCATTGATGCCAACTGACTGCAATATGCTTTTTCACGGCAGACGACGAGCTGCTAGCTCTACTTGCCTATGGTTGTGGAACAACCATTGGCACCTTGGCGGATCCGAGAAACGGGGTTCGTCAGGCAGGTGAGGAACTATCGGTGGACGGTGTGGTGGTCTGCCAACTGCCGGCCACCAGGTTGGAGGCCGTGGCCCTAATGACGGCCGCCCACGCTGTCTTCTACACAAAGTTCACGGGGCCCTGCAGGGCCCTGTTCGAGATTCTTTACCGGAGTGTGCGATTCGATGTAAACCTATCTGGCTTATCACAGAAGGTGTGGGAGGTTACCCAGGTAGTGTAGAACCAGCATCGGAGATGCCCACTTCGAATGACTGGCGACCTGTGGCTCACTTGTGGTTCAAGTGACTCGTGACTTTTGGCTCACCTGCGGCTCAAGTGACTCGCAACGTGTGGCTCACACTACTGGAGCCTCTGTATTATGACTAATTCAGCTGCGGTGGTCTCAGTACGCCAATGAGTCTCAGTACGTCTTTCATAGCCCAGATCACGCTCGTTTTATATGCCATCCGTGGCGGTGGTTCTGTGCGCAGATGTTATTCGTTAGCCTCAGTGTTAACCATACACGCTCGTTTTATCTGCCATCCGTGGCGGTGGTTCTGTGCTAAGATGTTATTCGTTAGCCTCAGTGTTAACCATAACGCCCTTGTGAGTTGTGACCTTGAACATCCTTCCAGTGATTTCGCATTGCGGCCGGCAGACCTAAGTTTTGCCTCCCAGTTGAGACGCCGCTTCTCAACTAGGAAGCAAAATTACGTCCCTGTCGGCCGCAATGCGCCATCACTGGAAGTGCGTCCAAATTAAGATGTACCTGCTGATGCTCAGGTACCATTCGTTAATCAATTGTTGGTGTTTCAATACATTGTTTAAATGCATTCCTTATTTTACACTTGGTCATAATATTATCACATCACCCCGCATTATCAGGGGTGGTACTTTTACACCGGGGCTTGATTTTACCGGGGAGTTACTCCGGGGTAAAATTATCGAAAAAAGGAGTGCTTTTTGGCATGGCAATATTATTCCCCGAATGGGAGTAATTTTAGTATTAAGTTAATAAAATTATCATCTGGTGTAATTTTATCCAAAGATAGCATACTTTTATCCTCCGTCATAAAATTACTCCCTAGTGCGAATAATATAAGCGTTCGGATACTAAATATATTCTATATGCTAGTTTTATTCCCCAAAACTCCCCATTTTAGGCGCTTATGCCAGGTCATAAAATTATTCGATTGCAGGAGTGCTTTTTGGCATTCTAAAATTAGAAAATGGGGAGTAAGTTTTTTTTTCAGTGTGTTGTGATTGCAACGTGAAGCTGTCAGTGTGCGAGTCATCAGTTACATCGCACGATGAATGTGTTACTTAAAGGGAGATTATGACCTTTTTCCACAAAATCTGAGTTAGGACCATTTTCTGACAAAACACAACAAGTTATAATGTAAATTAAAACCATTTTGCTCAATTCGGTACCTTGCCGCAAATATCTCAACTTGAAGTCACGTTAGCGGGGAGCGCTGAAAATGACCGTTGAATAAGTACTTACATCACTTTTTGGTACTTGCATGTAATTTTGTAAAATGAGCGTATTCCTCACATTTGATCTTCATCACATCTAGTTAGTTAATGGTCGTCTATAGTGCCTTCAAAAGATATTAATGGTTTGGGGGTGGTTTATGTCTAAATTTACGCAACTATTTTTCCTGTTCATCATCTGTCGCCATATGCTGCTATTTTAGTAGCAACGACTCAATTTTGAATCGGTCCCGCCGACTGCACAATAAAAGAAGATAGATACAACACTTTTGCGGCATCACTGAAAAACTTATGCAGTACTGTTATCAAAATTCTCATAACACCGTTCGACAAACCTGAAGTCTTTTTGAAATAAATATGCTTGTATTTTTCGCTTCAGGCTCTGAGGCCAAAATAATGAATTTCGTAGTCGCAATCGCAAGATTTGGCTGCGTTTCTGGCGCATGCCGTTCATTTGTGGCGCAAAATAATACTTGGAAACAAAGAAGAGTAGGCACTATGTACCCCCGAATTAGAATCTAAATAATTCTAAACCGAATTAACTCTAATTCAAATTAGAATCCTTACAACCAAGCAACGACAAGGCGATAACATAAACAAAAACCCAAGCGTCGCTGTTTGAAACAAAAGCGCCATATACTGCGACTTTTTTATAGAGAAGGACAACGCATTTCGGTGGGTGTTACAAGTACTGCAAGTACTGCTTCTTTTTCGCAAAAATAAAACCTTTTTCACATACGAAAATGTGCTAGGAAATTTTCATATTTTATAGAAACTACAGTAGAAATAGTATAGATGTCGAGTAATTTTTATTTAAGAAAAAAGAAAGCTCATTATCTCCCTTTAAATAAAAAGAAATAATCATTACTAGGGCGTTCATCCTTCCTTCACTCAGTACAGTTTTTCTCTTTTAGTAAATTTACCCATACCTATGTCTATATGTCACGTGTCAAAAACAGATCTAAAGCCATGTAAAGATGCGTCAAAATAGCGGGTTTACTCTAAAAAAAGCATGCCATCCATTGGCTGAGTGCTGACGTATGCACAACCTTTTTACAGGCCTTAAGAAGATTTCCAGAAGATTTGAGATGAAATGAAAACAGCCATCGTTCACTTTGGGCGTTGAACCATAGTGACGACGAGGTAATGGATTAATACCATCCCAGCATTTGAAGAATAAGTGCGTACCTGTGTTCCTCCATTACATTTCGAATACCTTCCTTTGACGCTGTCTATTGTTAGAGATATTGATTGAGACGTCATTGGGCTGTTCAATAAGTGATAGATGTCATTTCTTACCTTGTTGAAATGCGGCTCGCCCCCTAATAAAAAGCTCATGACATGACCAGTGACCATTGACCATTACATAACATCAGGAGGTACGAGCAAACAATCACTCATCGGATAAACAATCACATTCAAAAGACCATATGCCATTATAAGACAAGATTTGGATCAGCATGTCCTAAAGCCAGCCATTCATCACCGCTTATTACCGAGTCGTCTGTCACAGCCGAGGTGCTGCCTTTATGTAACGTGCAGTTATGGTAAAAGGAGACACTAAGTTTCCTCTATATTTGGCCACATCGTGTCTACATATGCATATTTTCCTGAATGGTAATCCGGTGACGCTCAGTGTGTTTTGATGAGGAACGACGATGGAAGTCATAATGTTTACAGCACTAGGGAAATGCTGACTCCATAGGGCTGAGTAAATTTCGGGAGCGGTAAGCCATCGACTAAGGCATGATCTATGAAATGGAATGGGATGTGAACATATTCCGCCAAGCAAAACGTTCCACAGCTTCACCTTTAGTTTTCAGTGGAATAACTCAATCCTAACTCGTTTCTTCATGCCCAACTAAAGGAGAACAAACTGGTATGCTTGCTGGATACGACCGACCCTTTTATCATACCGTATAGATAGATTGCAGTAAAACGTCGCCCTTACATCCTCCGGTATACTGACAGAGTTGCTTGGGTTTTGGGCTTGGCGTGACTGACTGGCGTCAATTGCTGCGCGGTTGCGTTTGACAGTGCCAAATGTGACGCAATGCCAGACTGACGGGAAGTCTCTGTCGCAAACAGCTCCATTGGTTTCGGTTAAATTCGCCCGAGAAGGTTCAGCTGGAAACGTTAGCGTTGATACAAATTTCGTCCTGGATCCGCTCCGTTCCAGTTTGGATCCGTTCCGCTCTGGCCTGGATCCGTTCCGCTCCAATATGAATCCATTACGATACTGTCTGAATCTGAAACCGTTCCGTTTTGACTTGCAGGGCCCACTCAGGATTTTCTGACAGATCCGATTTCATTTGTTCCCGCCTGAGTTCGCTTTGTTGCACTCTGAAAACATGCAGATAAGCATGATTATGAGACGAAATATTAGACTGAAACTTTTTCTCTCCATGTAACTTCCGTCTAGCTGGCGCTTTCAATTCGCTTGTGGCCTGTAACAATGGCACAGTGGGTGAACTGGATGTGGCTGTGGCTGAATAGAGGAACTCGTATGTACAGTCCACAGCAGAAGTAATGTGTGGTTTCAGTCATGGGTATGTTCTGCTTCTGAAGCCTAGGAACGATCAGCCAGACTGCAACGAGACTTTAAATGTAGCTTACATGTATCTTCACCCTTGCAGCTACAACTTTATCTATTGATGTCTTCTTTTCAATCAGTCCGCATTTAAAAATCGTCGGTCAAAGCCATCCGTTGAGATTGGTAAAACCACACATTACTTTAGCGGTGGGCTGCACTTACCTAAAATGGTCTCAGTGAATCTCAACATCTGGAGATAAAGATATAGCACTTTCCTTTTCGCTATTTGCGTAGTGCGTACAGTACTTGCCACAATGCAACTACTGTAGAATAGTGTATATTGGGTTGAAGCGGCAGTGAGCGTAGAAGGAGCAAGTGCTGAAAATTATTATTATTATTATAGTAGAATTATGGACAAAATGTTCTATGCATGAAGGTCCAGATTGAAATAGTCTTGAGAGTCGTAAAGTTGCATAATGAATTGCTTGCAAATATTCGCATTTATTTTACGATCTAGGCATGTAAAAATTCCGCATTGAGTGAGGCCCAGCTAGGGCTCGTTACATAACAAGAGGTCAAGAAATGCAGAAATCGGAGTGATGGCCATGCCATGAGAATACGATATGACGACACATCTGTCAATATAATGGTAAATGTGACGGGTGCACCCACATACGTTATGTGCGTACCTGAACGTGATGTTCATAGATCATATGTCAACCCGCCGAGGAATACGCGAGCCTAATCTCGGTATCATAAAGACGAAATGCCTCATATGTTCTGTCCTATGAAGCTACAAACTATGCGACTTATCTTTATATCACCATCAGTTGATCCTCTTGTCACAACTGAAAAGCACATACCCTCTCTGTTTTAACCCGCGCCCCACTGGGGTCTGCGTCATAGGCGGCGGAACGATTTGAGACAAGGGGGGGGCACCATGTCTCAAGGAGCCAAACCTAGGGTACCCCCAAATCCTGTTTTCTCATCGGATTTAGGCCACTTCTTTTTCGTCACAGCCCTGACACGATGATTTTATCTTTTTTTTTTTACTAAACGAAAATGGCAGTTCACCCCCGTATGCAAGGGTGTAATTTTATATCTCTTTGTGGGGGCATATGCACCCACAATCCTGAATTATGCCCCCACAATGATGAAAATGCACCCACAAGTCTCTTACAACTTGCAAGCGTCCTTTCGAGAGCACGGTGCCCTTCGCATGC